GGTTCCACCTTGGGTAGGAGCACACACCCTAATCCCTTCTCAAGGGCAAAGACTGTAAAGGACCTAATAAGTTCACCTTAGTGGAGGAGGAACTACATTCATTCGTTAATGTACTCATTAAATTTGAAAAAATGTTTTTCCATCTACCAACTGCCCGCCCTGTGTAATCCTCTAGACCAGGGGTCCTCAAACTTTTTAAACAGGGGGGCAGTTCACTCACTGTCCCTCAGACCCTTGGAGGGCTGGACTGGGGGCCCAGGAACCAGTCGGCTGCTAAGCAGGACAGGCAGCAGTGGCAAAAACACCCCATGGGCCAGATAAATGTCCTTGGTGGGCCACATACGGCCTGTGGGCCATAGTTTGAGGATGCCTGCAAGTCTAGATTTAAGACCCCCTACATGAAAGAGCCCACGTGGAGACTCCAGAGTTGATTTCTTCAATTCTTTCCCATTCCAGAAGCTCTGGTGCTTTTTACTTCTGCATTCCTTTTTAACTTATAACAAAAGTCCTATCTTAGGACTGATCTGTGGTCTGTGGGTTCATTCTTCGAATCCCCGAGACCAAGGACCTACTGAAGAGCAAAATTCTGGTATCAATTTTAGACACTACTAATATTTATACTACTTTGGTCAAAGTACCTGGGTGCTTTGTTTAGGCCCCAACCCTAATTAGAACCTGGAAACTTATGGCAATAACTCTAGGTCACAGAACTGTAAACCCTCTGGTCCTTTATTATGCTTATTTTTGTAATATTCAATAAAATCTAAAATTGTAATCTCTATTTCCAATTAGATTCAAAACCCTCTGAAGGCAAGAATAGTGTGCCATGGACTCCTGTGTCTGCCTCCTTTCATGCTTGTCAATATTGCTGAGTTTAATAATTCCTTCTTAGTCATCGTTACTCATGACAGTCTCCATTTTCTATGTGTTTATTTCTAGGTGCAGCATATCAAGAAGACATCAAATTAGGTTAATTAGAGTGTTGAGGGACCTAGAAAAAACATTGTTTCGAAGAGAAGTTGAAAGTTGTGGAGCTATGTAATCTGGAAAAGGGAAAACAATGGATAATGCGTTGTGCTTTGCCAAAAGTAAGCTGTCAAAAATACTCACGAAGCATGGAAGGGAAACAAACAGACTAAAGATGAACATGATAGTTAGACTCCTAAGATTTGATTTGTTCCAAAGTACAACTGCCACCAAAGTTTGGAACTTACAGGAAAGTAATTTCAACAAACAATAAAATTTTAAGTTTCTAATCATTAGAGTTGTGCAACAGTAAAACAAATTGTCACAAGTGCTCTGTTTATGTCATCACTGCAGCACTCATTGTGTAGTTTGATGTGAAACAGTTTTTTGAAATTTGAGTAAAATTTTGACAATGTATAAATAACTGAATTGTCTGATCCATGTGTTGACTTAATCACCTTCATTATAATGTTATTTAATTATAAAACTAGGTAAATTATATATGCATAAAACCAAACAAATTTACTAATTAAATATGAATACTTCAAATTAACGATCTTAATATGATAGTGGTTTATTGTTGAAACTTACTGCAGTGTACTGGAGTGTCACTGTTGCTCTCACAGGACTGGTTCTTTGAAATTCAGCACATCTATACTGCTGTATTTCTCATGACAGTTTATTTTTCTAGTCTCTTTTTTCTACTTAAATTGTTATGAAATCCTAATTAATAGTACCAGCATGATGTCATTTGGTTTTAAATTGGTTCCAAAGCATTTTTAAGCATAATTCTATTCTTTTCCAGTATTGATTGTCCCCCAAACAGTTGAAAACATAGTGTAGATAAAGGCATGAAAATCAAATGTCAATACTTAGTTATAAGATATTCATTTATAGAATACAGGATCAATTTATTAACTTTTTGAAGGTTATCATCAAAAGGAAAAATAACACCGAAAATTTATTGTAGAGGAATCTTTGAAGATTTGATTGTAATCGTATTTAACACGCTAGTACATCAAGAAAAACTAATGTGCCAGTAAGGAGAAAGATTTTAGTAAGTCACAGATGTGTGGTAAGAATTTCAGAAGCTACAACTAGCAGTCTCTTTCCTAAAGCAACCATAGTTTAGGAAGATGTTCTTTGGTAGATTTGAGTACTAGAGTCTGATTAGCAAGTCATCTCCAAAGGTGAAATAGAAACCTTAGGCATCTTATTTTGAGAGGAATGATTTTTTTTCATTCCTAAATGATTTTTAACAGCTCATGAAAATAGCACACACTTACAAAGCATAGTTTTCATTGCAGGAACCCATGGTGTGTCTGCAAAAAAATAACTGAATTGGCAATGGTTTTTCTTAGTGTGGCAGGTTACTCCATTGATTATATTATCTCATTTTTAACTTGCCTTTGGAGTTGCAATTTTGATTCTGTGCTGTGTTTGCCATCCTGTTCGAAAGTCTTCAACATAGTGTGGCCATCAGTTTTGCTCATCTGCCACCCTGACCAAAAAAAAAAAAAAAAAAAAAAAACCCCAAAAAACCTGTTTGTTCCCTTTTTCCTTTGTTACCAGAGCTTCAGTTTTGTTTGAGAGGCACCATGTTTTTCATCCCTTTTTCTTTTGTAATGATGTGAAGTCTAGATCTTTTGTAATCATTTGGAAATCTTAAGATGTGAGCTTGATAATAAAAGCCAAAATATTGAAATTGCCAGAATGGGAGAAGAAAAAGACCCTGCATTTTTGGTGATATTATGGAGACATTGAATAACTTGAAAGTCAACTGAGTCTGGATTTCTCATTAAGTAAACAATAATTATGCTTATAAAATAAGCCACTTAAAATTTTTTTTTTGTTACATATAACTAAAAGTTTGCTAATGCTAACACAGAGTTTAAAGGCTTTGCATGTTCTGGCTCAGATGGCTCTCTTTAGGTACTGTAGACTTCAATTTAATAAAAATATTCTAAGTCTTATCAATTCCAGGCCTTTATAAAATCTTTCTGGAACCTGAGAAAGTCTCTAACCGACTCCCCTACTCCTAATAAAGGAACTTCTAATAGATCTTTGCATTGCAATTCTAAGAATATTCCTTTATAGAAGCCTCTGCTGATGCCACCTTGCTTCCCCAACAATCCTTAAGTCATCTCACTTAAAAATCTATCTCTTCTTGTATTATTTCACAGCATTTTCCAAATTTCTTTCAAAATAATGTGTTTGACAGCTATTTTCCTTACTTGTCTACAGGCTCTGTGAGGAAAGGGTTTGTGTCAGTTTTACTGTTATGGACTGAATGTTTATGTCTTCCAAAATTCACATGTTGAAATCTATTCCCCAATATTTGGAGGTGAGGCCTTTAAGAGATAATTAGGTCATAGGGATGGAGCCATCATGAATTGGATTAGTACTGTTATAAAAAGAGGTCAGAGTTAATCCTGTACTACCTTGATTTTTCAAAAAAAGAAAAAGGCCAGAGAATTCTCTGGCATTCTTGCGATGAAAGAATACAATGAGAAATCAGTGGTCTGCAGCTCAGCGGAAGGCCTGAACCTGACCATCTGGCACTCTGATCTCAGACTTCCAGCTGTTGAAATATGAAAAATAAATGTTCGTTGTTTAAATCAACCCATCTATACTAATTTGTGATAGCAACCTGAGCAGAGTAGTATACCACTTAACCCATTTTCTACTTTATTTAGTTCCTGGCCAAGAGCATGTTTTAAAATAAGGAAGGTAGGAAATAAGATAGGACTTGAGAAACTATCTGTCCCGTTAGATGATTTTGTGGGTAA